AGCCTGGCGCTTATATAGCATATTTCCATTGTGTCGGTATTTTATACCATTTATTTCCAACGTCAGTTGTAGCAGACGAGGGCATAGTCACTGATACTTAAACACCACCAACCCAACAACACACGGGTCACATGATTTCATCGTCTACCCGTCCTCGCATGGGCCAGTAGGCCTTCTGCAGTGTTCCTACATTCTTATGTTCTCATGTTCTTATGACATTGCTCAGGTCACCATGCGTCACTCACACCTCACTCTCCGCAGTTTAAAAACTGTAGTGTAAAGCACCCTTCTGGCAAGACAGTGATGGAGCGAATGATGGTGAAAGTTTTTCTTTTTCAGGCCACCCTGCCTTGGTGGGAATCGGCCAGTGTGATAATAAATAATATATATATATATATATATATATTATATATATATATATATATATATATATATATATATATATATATATATATATATATATATATATATGTTAGAAGTGATCAAGGTCCCAGGACCGAAACGTTTTCTAATAAATATGTCATAGTGTTTGCTTACGTGTCTTTCTAAACCAACTTGTCGGTATTTATTACCAAGGTTTATACCATCACCAGTAGTAGACAGGACAAGCTTCCATCCTCTGCAGGGGTATACATAATCCCTTGTAATGACTGCAACAAATTATACGTGGGCGAAACATCAAGAGACCTCCAAGCACGTATTTCAGAACACCAGTACGCAAGCAGGACTGACGATACAAGGATTGCCTGTGTACAACATTGCAATTCACACAATCATTTAATTAACTACAGAAACTCGAGACTTATCGCCACAGAAGACAACACTCAATACCGAAGAATCCTGGAGTCATCGCTTATCTCTATAACCAACAATTTCAACCAGAACAATGGCTTCTATAACGTAGCTGAACCACTTGCCAGGAAACTTCTTCATCGCTATCCCACATAAGAACATAGAACACTGCAGAAGGTCTCCTCACAATTTGTCCAATACCCCTGCCAAGCTACCCAAGATTTTAGACTCTATAACCCCACCCGGTAGATCATCAGATGCAGCATTCTCAACCTGACCTCAACATTCTTAACCTGACTATAAATACTCACGTACCTTCCACCCCAGGTAGATCTGTTTGTGACTTGAAAAAAAAAGCCCACTGTGTGGGCGAAACGTTGTCAATAAAGGATCACATTAAACTGCATATGTGTTTATGTTTCCACTGTGTCGGTATTTTATACCATTTATTTTCATTCTGACAGGACAGTGATGAAGTGAGTAATGATGAAAGTGTTTCTTCTTTTTTGGGTCACTTACTTCGTTGAGAAACGGCGGTATGTTAAAAACAAATTACTCGTGTGCAAGAGGCTCTTTAAGTTTCAGTTTTGAATAGAGTTCTTTTATGTGATCTTTCATGTAAAGGGCATATGCAAAATCAGAGTTCATTCGTCATTCAGCTGTGGGCAATCAAGCTAAAATACATTTCTGATCTGCAAGTCTAAGTCTTGGCACCATGACTGCCCAACACCCGCTCCTGATTATCACATTATAATATCAAAATGAATTCCTTCTTCAGGTGGAGACACTATAAATTTTCCGAAATTGCTGGACACAGTGGCTGGTCGGATAGTTTCTTTGCGGGCCGGATACGCCTGCGGGCCCTATTTTTCCCTCCCCTGGTCAAGAGGAACAATGGAGGAAGTTAATGGTGAAATAAACCTGCCTCTGTGAGAGTTGTGATGGTGTAGAGATGTTGATGCCACTTTGCTTCCATGCCAGCCAGCCTGCTACTCTGTGTAGCGGCTGGCAGTTATGTAATGTTGTCGGTCATGATCCTCACGGTTGGCACTCGTGTAGTGTTGTCACTCTCGACCCTCGCATCATATTTGTTGATTCCTAGCTATGTGTTGTCATAGTTATGTTGAATTTAAGGTATTAACGGGGGTTGATGTGGAAACTGGTGAGGTGTGAGTGTGAGGGCCGAGGAGGAGGGGAAGGATGGGAGTATTTGTGGGGTGGGGGGGTGGGGAGTAAGGTTCATGGGGTTACTCGCAGTGTGCAGTAAATCAAGTAATGCTGCTGAAGCATTTTTTGACAAAATTGGATGGCTCGAGGTTACGGGAGAATGACAGCCTCAGTGGCTGACAGATAATTTTCCTTTATGAACTAGATAGGAAAACCAGGATGGTGTGAGGAAACTGAGAAGCAGGGTGGAGGATGTGGAGCTCTGGTGTGTTTGGAGCTCTGGTGTGTATGGAGCTCTGGTGGGTGAGGAACTGTTGGGTGCGTAGTTCTGTTGGGTGTGGAGCTCTGGCGGGTGTGGAGCTCTGGCGGGTATGGAGCTGTGGTGGGTGAGGAACTGTTGGGTGTATAGTTCTGTTGGGTGTGGAGCTCTGGCGGATGTGTAGCTCTGACGGGTATGGAACTCTGGTGGGTGTGGGCATATTTAATGATCTTCCCGGTGTGAGAAGCCAGGGCACGGAAGGCACGTTGGTCCTTTCAGAAGTAGCGAGCATGAGTGCGAGGGAAAAGCTACAAGATTATCTCTCCTTCCCTCAAATGCTCAGACCAGGCACACCAGATTAGTCTTATCTGCTCAGGGAGGAAGCCACGGAGGGAGGAAGGGAGGGAGGGAGGGCACCAGCATCTACCATTTCATTACATAACACCGACTTCTCTCTCTTTTTCTTTTGCTCTCTCTCTCTCTTGTGTGCTTGCCAGAACAATGGTAGGACGAGTTCTTGATCATGCAGAGTACCAAATGAGCGAGGGGAGAGAGGAAGGGAGGGATGTAGATCACTATATTCACGCTAGGTCAAACTTCAAGTGCTAATAATGCACGAGGTAATTCACTGTTTTCATAACCCTGGAGAATTATTGTCTTACTATTACTCAGAGCAGGATCAGATTTTTCACTTATCGGTACCACCCACGGTGGCAAAATTTAATTCTTGTGTTAGAAAATGGTCTGTATTTATAAATTAATTTTCATGCGATAATCGTACAAGGGCGGCAGCTCCGGCGTAGTTCTAACCTGTTGAATATACCAAGCCAGCACAAAAAAATTTAAGGTCATAACATTAGTTATAATCTAATTATAATGTAGTCACCAGTTTTAGCAAATTTTTACCATTGTTTATATCTAAGTTAGACATTCATCTTAAAACAGTTTGTGTCTTGTCAAGAGTGTAAAGCCCTGATCATGAACCTTAAGGTAACCGGCTGTGTCTGGTAAGACCAAGATTCCCAGTGGACTTGCCTTTTATAGACCCGTGCTTCTTCAGGTCTATAAAAACTTCCCTATCATTCTCGTTTTTCCTTGATGTGGAAGGAACTAAGTCACTGAAGCAGGGATCCCTTCGTTTCTGTGCTTGGGCAGTTCTGATGTGTTAGGTAGCAATGCGTGACTCATCTGCATCTCTTATCGTTGCAGCCTTGTCTTCTGTTATCAGGTCTAGGTGACTATAGAAACTGCAGTATTGTTTTGACTTCATGATATGCTTTTGTATGCTTACTCGTAGGAAGGTTGTCAGGGTATAGGAGTCGTTTATTCATCCGAAAAAAATGTGAAGTGTTCCTTCAAAGTCAGCCTTCGACTTGCGGCGGATGCGCTTCGTTGTTGAGGCCTTCACTTGGGAGACATTCAAAGTATTATTACCTTCCACCAGTCTAGATGTGAGGTCAGTCAGAGGCACCATAGGCAGATTAACAAACAGTTCTAATCTGATTAATATAAACAGTCCACTGTATGATTGATCAGCAGTCTCATACTTTGCCTCAGTAGCATTAGTGTCTTACCATCAGTTACACTGCTGGCTATGACAGCATTTGCATTTGTGTACAGACGGTAAATTTATCTGTGGTAGTGGCCTTCACTGTACAAAGTCTACGCCTTATATTCTCCCCCAGTGTACAATGGTAATTACAATAGTAGAGGTTAATGTTATCAAGTGCCACTCTTGGCTAGGTCGCTGAAAGTTTTTTGTTTTAGTGGTCTCCTCACCACCATTAACAAGCCCTCGTCTCTCAAAGCCAGATTGTCACTGTACTCGCGGAAAATCGTAAATAACGATTGTAACATTGATAGAACGTAGACTTATGATGAAAGTCGTCTGTCTATATCTTTGAAATTAATTTTGTTTCATGAAGTTATTAGTGAGGTGAGGGGTGTCACATGACAATGTTTACACGGGTGGACATGCTTCTTGTGCCACTGCTGTGCATACGCACCCACGCATCACCTGGGTGCACCCATGAATACTTCAGTCTCTGAAGCAGTGTTCACTCGGCCGAGGAAGGAGTATGGTGCAGAGAGCTGTAGATTGTTAAGAAACCGATAATACCAGATGCTGCATCAACACTAGTATAGCAACCGGAGTAGTAGTGGGTGTAGCAGTAGCAACCGCAGTAGTAGTGTTTGTAGTAGTAGCATGAATCACACACTCGGTGATATTAGACAGAATTATCTAAAAGTAATGTTGAAGGATGAATGAGTTGACCAGGCATATGTGAGACAAGTGGTATAGGTGCCGGGGTCAGGTTGTCTTATTCTAAGGTGGAGCGCTGCCAGCTTTCACTAGTGGTGCGGTGCGTCAAGTGTGAGACCGGGTCGGACGCGGCAGTCACCTCTTATTTTTGTCCACCAGACCAGTGGTTGGGCACCCGGGGACGGAAGATAAATGCTGTTGTTCACTGGTGTAATTATTTTAGCTGTTTAATTAAGGGGGGCATATTGAATTACCTATTAGATTTTGGAACTATATGTTGATAGCATAGTAAGCATGTTGAATCGTGTGAAATTGTACTGTAAACATGAACTGCGTAAACGCCTTCATATTAACTCTACACAGACCACATGTGGGATTTACGTAATGATTAATGAAGAGTGAGGGACGTTATGAGGTACTGTATAGTGTGTGTAAGGCACTGTATGAAGGTCAGTGTAGTTAGGAGCACATTCCTTACATAAGTGACTCGAGTTCGTCTTTTCTTTCAACACTTCTCAGGACAGTGCAGTGTGCGACACATGAAACCAGTGCATATTTGAGAGTAATATAAACGTGACATTATAAAAAAAAGTGTAATGACGGCCCGCAGCGAGCAGCGGCCCCAGCTGCTCTACTCTGCCACGTACGAGTCTACACAGGGTAGTAGACCTGAGAAGGAGGGGTCAACTCCAGGTGAAGGTGCCGCCGTGACTCCCTCACCTACCACCATCAACCCAGTGGGCGAGGAGGGTGAGGGTGGGGAGCATGGACCTGGTAGTGGTGATGAAGCAAGTGGAGGGGGAGTGTGTAGAGAGTGCCCCATTATCGTCACCACAAGTGCCATAAATACAGGTGCCGCCACAAGCTCCGCGCCCCTCCCACCACAGCACCACTTTGAGCAGCACCACAAACATGCTCACATTAAGGACTACACGACTGAGGATCTTGAG